ATGGTTCAATGATCGTCTCAAAAAACAGTTCACTATTAAATTTTTCACTATTAAATTTGAAACTCGGATGTTGAGCCATAAATAAATGTAGAAGAGAAAAAAAGGACATATGGATACGAGTTTATAATTGTGTAGAGTAACTCTCCATCACTGTAACATGATACTATATACAGTCAGAAAGTGCAATAACTAGGCACACCACTGACAGAGTACTGAGACATTCGACGTCCTGACACCTAGCTTCAACACATCTTCGTAGCGCTAACCGACAGCCTTCCAACTTGGAAGGTTCAAGGTTATGGAAAGACCAAAGAGGGGAAGGCAAGCACAACGAAAACGAGCAAAAGCTACAGTCCCAACGGAACAAAGAATGTCGATTGTTACTGGACGATGACGAGACCAGTACGATATTTGACAAAGCGGTCTAACTACAATTCGAAGCAGCAAAGCAGCACACCACCCAACTTGGGCGGGTCATAAATATCAAAGATAAGTAAAGAAAGGGAAGCTTTGCGAAGCTAGGTGTCAGGACGTCGAATGTCTCAGTACTCTGTCAGTGGTGTGCCTAGTTATTGCACTTTCTGACTGTATATAGTTTCATGTTACAGTGATGGAGAGTTACTCTAAACTCGTATCCATATGTCCTTTTTTTCTCTTCTACACTATTAAATTGTTTGGTTTTCCGAAAATGGTAATCTGCAATGGACTGTCATTAAAACAGAAAAAGAAAATAATAAGGCACCCATTTTGGTAGTCCAGGGGATGGCCCACGCCTGGTAAAGAGAAGAAATAGAGAAAAGAAAAGACGGATATTTCACAAGAAGTCACGCCTCCCTTCTTCAAGAACTCTTCTCTATTGGTGTCGGTGGTACTGCACTGCAATGGATAGCTAGTTTCCTATGTGACGGTCGCCAACGAGTAGTCACGAAGCATCAGGAAGGTGAACAGTACACACCTACAAGAGGTGTACCTCAAGGGTCAACATTGGGTCCTGCCCTCTTTAACCTATCTGTCCGAGCTCTGCCATCATGTACCATCACGAGCAAGGTTCGGCAATTTGCAGACGACGTGTCTATGTATAAGGCAGGCACGAACTAACTTGCAGAAACTCACTGATGATCATGTGTTTCTTCTCTTTTTTTGCATATAAAAAAAAATATCTTTTTTAGGAACGGGTTTGCTCCTGGTATCCACCATGGTAATACTAACATCAAGAGTACATAACACTGGTTATGTACTCTTGGCTTAGTCTTGCTAACATGAGCCTGCACATTATGGGTCATGTCAGTAATGAGCTGGCTTATATTCGGACGTTAACGTAATTGGTCGCGCCAAAATGGGGCGTGCAAGAGACGAGACGAGCTGTGGTGACCCGGTGTCACATTAGGTCGCGCTGTACTGGGGGTGCTAATATGAACACGCGCCGTTTATGGTTGCGCTGTTTTGGGTGTAAATCTCGCGGCTAGGCCTCCGCGGAATATGCTCGTATTTTTACCGATAATTCCTTTGAGCATTGCTCAAAATTACGTCCGATAATTCCCGTAATTCCACCAATAATTCTCACAATAATGTTTTTTTTCTTCCCTTTTTTGCAGATACCGTACCGCTTACGGTTTTTTGCCACTTGTACGGGCAAAAAAATCACGGTTCGCGTGAAACTCGGCTGGAAGCTTTTTTTTCTTTCTCTTTTGAAATACCGGGCGATCAACTCATTCAGGATCACAAGCTTTTTGGTACAAATCAGGGTGTTAAAATGGAAAAAATTGAAAAAAGGGGGGCATTGCTCAAATTTTACCGATTATTCCACAAAAATTGCCAATAATTCCCGTTTTAAAAATCACACCGATAATTCCCGAAATTATGCCGGCATATTCCGCGGAGGCCTAATCGCGGCGCGGGCTGGATTCCGCGGTACTGCCCTCTTACTCGTGCAGGAACCTGTACATAACTAGGCACAAAACTGACAGAGTACTGAAACATTCGACGTCCTGACACCTAGCTTCAACACATCTCCGTAGCGCTAACCGACAGCCTTCCAACTTGGAACCTTCCAAGTTGGAAGGCTGTCGGTTAGCGCTACGGAGATGTGTTGAAGCTAGGTGTCAGGACGTCGAATGTTTCAGTACTCTGTCAGTTTTGTGCCTAGTTATTGCACTTTCTGACTGTATATAGTATCATGTTACAGTGATGGAGAGTTACTCTTAACTCGTATCCATATGTCCTTTTCTCTTCTACATTTATTTATGGCTCAACATCCGAGTTTCAAATTGCACACCTGATGAGCCGTCACGAACCATACGGCGAAACGTACGTCGTGTGAAACCACTTGTTTTGTAGTCAACTAGTCCATCACAATGTCATGCATGAGGAGTACTGTAGGAGTTTGGCTTTCGGCTTGTACAATTCGTTTTCGCAAAGCTTCCCTTTCTTTACTTATCTTTGATATTTATGACCCACCCAAGTTGGGTGGTGTGCTGCTTTGCTGCTTCGAATTGTAGTTAGACCGCTTTGTCAAATATCGTACTGGTCTCGTCATCGTCCAGTAACAATCGACATTCTTTGTTCCGTTGGGACTGTAGCTTTTGCTCGTTTTCGTTGCGCTTGCCTTCCCCTCTTTGGTCTTTCCATAACCTTGAACCTTCCAAGTTGGAAGGCTGTCGGTTAGCGCTACGGAGATGTGTTGAAGCTAGGTGTCAGGACGTCGAATGTTTCAGTACTCTGTCAGTTTTGTGCCTAGTTATTGCACTTTCTGACTGTATATAGTATCATGTTACAGTGATGGAGAGTTACTCTTAACTCGTATCCATATGTCCTTTTCTCTTCTACATTATTATTATTATTATTATTATTATTTGTTTTACATCGGAAGCTCAACAGTGCAGCTGCACAAATATGAAGAGGCCGATGGGAGGCTGGGAGCAAAATATAAATAAACAAAAAAATAAAAAATAAATAAACAATGTATAAATACATCAGTGTAAATGTTTAGAAAAAAAAGGGGGGATGAGTGGTGAACATAAAGAGAAAAGAAGAAAAACGTATGCTGAATGAACCTGGGCAATATATACAATGTCATGTAGCTGGTGAGAGACTAAACGTTGCCAACGTTGTCAAACAAAACTGCACGATATCGTTCAAACCAAACTGGATCATCCCATAAGCGCTTAAAACCACGATCGAACTGAGAGGTAAACAAAGAGGATTTCAAGTTATTAGGTAGAGCATTAAAAAACAGAGCAGCACGAAGCACAAAGGATTTTTGACCGAGTGTTGTTCTGCATTTTAAATAAGGGATACCATGTGTGTCGCGACTACGCGTGCTCCGGGTAGATTGCGGGGCTGGGAATAACGATGCAAATACAGGCAAAGGGCGAAGAATATGATTAATGAAAATGAACTTCCCAGTTGACACCAGAAAATAGTAGTCCAGGGGCTTAAGTCTTTGACAAGTCGAGTGTCCATCTTTTGAGTTTGAGTGTAAATGAGTTGACCTGTATTGAGCGTGCGCGCTGACGGGGTGGTCTGTTTTGGGGATGTCCAGTTATGGGGATGGGGCTTTTGGGGGGCGCTGAAGTCAACGGCGCTGTTTTGGGTCGCGCTCATGTGGGGGCATACCAGCCGCGATGGGGCTGTTAAGTGTGACGTCACGGCCTCTTCGATACGCATAGCAACGGAGAGCACTGGGGACAAACAAAAGTCAAAAGTCGCGTCCTCTGGATGGAACCAGTTGTGAAGGGCAACAGCATCTAAATGACTGGAGAGAGAGCAGTTTTTCTTTGCTTTTTCGTCAAGCGATTGTTGTCGCTCTTTACTCCTTGTTCTTTCCTCTACAAATCTCCTGTAGTCGTCGAGGGCCTTCATAATGGCTGTGAAATTGGCTGCCCACTGTAAAACTCCGTGTTTGAGAGTGCTTTGGAGATTCTTCGCCTCCTGATGGATCAAAGTACGAGCGCTCCCTGTGGATTCGATTATATGTAGGTGAGTTGTTCAAGAAATCAGTGTCTTCTTTCTGTCTCTGCCCTCACGCTGGCACAATATCAGCCTCTATATCCATGACAGCCCGCACCTCTCGTAGACTGCATGACTTAGCTGTATTCTCGCCCTCCGTGGTGATTGAAGACCCATGGAAGAAGTTGTTCAGAATGATGTCCTGAGAATATAAAATAAAATAATTCCAGGGAATTGTTACAGGGTATTTTGGAAGGATGGAGAGAGAGAGAGCACTGTTTGAAGTGTTTTTCTCACTGTAATTACTCCAGATTATTGAATGGTGTATGATCTACTCGATATTTTCCGCAATGGTTTTTCCTGATTTGCGGGATCTCTTCTTTTGCTGTTTGCGTGTTTACAGGAAGTGACTGTCTGGTGTATCTGCACCAGATCCTGGGGAAATGAAGTCAGATGCAGAGGCAGGGTCGTCCAGTGATGCAACACTGCCGTTCTATGTGCAACGGCACCGCTAATTCCCCCGGCGAAAACACAAACACGTGAAGAGACTACAGTATTGACCGTTCTGGTAATGAATCGTGACTGCTCGGACAGTCGATAATCGAAACACAGAGCACCAGCATGATGTTTTCATATTGGGAACCACACACCAGCTCAATTCTCAAGCCCAAAAATTGATTAATACAAAACACAGAGCGACGCAACAAGAGATCATCCGGCAACCAAACCAACCTGGGTCTGATGCACTGAATAGTCCTGAAATACGCAGGCCACACAAAGCAGTGCAAGCACAGACTGTTACAAGGTACATGCATTGCAGAACAAAGTGTAACCAAAGATACACAGGGTTATAGCTGCACACTCGTGCATGTGCTCGCTCAGCCCAAGAACACGCAGGATGATAGAAATAATCCGGGGGAAACACGCTAATGTCATGACCGGGGAGTGGGCCAGACATACTCTCAGGATTCTACAATTCCAGGTTCTTTACGGAAATATACCAGAAGTCCAGATACCCATTCCTCACCCTCACCACACAAGAAGACCAAAGCTTCACTCTAGGACCAAGCTCAAACAACAGAGAAGCAACAAGAACAACAACAACCAGCGATCGATGCAAAGCATCAAGCTATATACTACAAGACCTAGTAGCGTGCATGGCGCGGAGCGAGCGAGTAGCCAGCAAAGCAAGAAATAGTGATAGGTTTCACAACACTATTGATCGACAAGACACATCGCCGCCACGGCAAACACTTCGTAAAGACACATGTATAAGCAGACGGAATACAATACAGATAATGACATTGTAGCAACACACGGACACGACTCTAGCACCGAAGTAAGCATCAAGACGTAAATAGTGCAGCTCTGAAAAAGTAAAAACTACATTGACATGTACATTGGTGTGCCGAGTAGTATCATCCTTGATCACCCATCCAACCAAGACGTTATCAGGTCCCAGACGCCGAGATCCCACGCCGAATGTGAAGTGCTTCTAGCCTTGAACCTGTTGCACAAGGCACACACATTATGACAAAAAATGACATCCACTCCGATTATTTCCAGAGGCCAATCATAACAGAACACAGAAATGAAACCACGGGCTCAACAAAGTAAACGCAAAGGAAATTAGTTAAAATAATCCATGAAGTGCTATTTTAATTCCAGCGCTGACTGCAGTGTGGCGTCATGGCCCGATACCCGCTGAGCATAGACACAAACTCCATTTGACAGGGGCACGACATACTATTTTGGAATAAAGTCACAGGGGCGTAGCACCCGCTACGACTGGTACGACCATGGCCGCACCACTTTTCGAAAAGTGTGGTCCGTCTGGAACGTGCAAAACCGTAATAAAAAATCAGGATCCATCGATATTTGCATATGCGCATCAGACCTTTTTCTAGACTCGTACTTGTAGATCTGTTATGCATCTGCAGTCGTACTGAGTACTGTACTCGACTCGACTGCACACTGCGCCAGAAGTGTGCCAGAAGTTCCCAGAACGCAGGATTTTGTGTCTTTTACAAAATTTTCCCGGGGGGGGGGGGGGGGGGGCGGACCCCCTCCAACACGGCCTTCCGCCGCACCGACCTTCGGTCGTACCACTTCCAAAACCCCTCCTACGCCTGAGTCATAAAGTACAGCACTCCAATGACATGACGGACACCTCGTGCAAATGCGTGGTCTGTTCATCCGGCCAACTCGGCCACGCATGAGAGTGTGTGCATGTGTCCCATATGGTGCAGTGGTATGTGCAGCGATTTCCAATCGATAGGTTGCGGGTTCGATTCCCGATGATTATGGTCACACACGTCTTTCTTCTCTTTCTCCGACTCCTGACTTTTCTTTCATTCTCCTGGGTGGTTACCAACAGCCAGTGCATGCCGGAGTATGTGGTGTGATGTGTGTGCGTGAAAAAAATGAAAAAGACCAAAAAGTAGGGATTCACTGGCCAGAAAAGCCACTTCATAGCTGTATGGTGTAGACCAGGCTGAAAAGTGGTGGTCAATTCTTCAGCCTTGCAAGCTGTTGAATGGTGCAATCCCAGCACAAGCTGCTATGGCTTCTGCTGTAGCATCGCTATCATCGCCTCTGGCGATGGGCGTCCAATGTTCCAATGGTCCAATGGTACGCGCACACGCAAGCGCGCACGTGCACACACACCATGTATTCGGTGCGTATGGCGTACCTGTTGCGGAGATAATGAAGATGGAATCATTATCATGATGTTACATGTACATGTACAGTGTATGTTTGAGTGTAAAGTAAATTTTATTTTATTACACATTTCTTCGACACAACTTACTCCACATCTTCGCATTTCTCATACGGTAATCCATCCATCTACACTCCGTCTCAGTTGAGGAAAATTCTCCCAGGTATACACACTGGATGGGCCCCAAGCACGACTGCACTCTCCAGTTACAATATAATTTATTTGTCCAGATTATCTGTGAAGACAAAATGCAATGCATAGCGGCAATCGATGGATGAAGAGAGAGTTTGTAAATACACATATCTTTCCACTTGTTCAGGAGCTTACCTTTTGGAGTTCACATCGTTTACACGATCTCTTATGCTGTCTTGCACCTTGGCTTTGTTGACCATGGATACGCCATCCCAGAAGACATTCTACAGGAGCTACTAATGCAGAGCGTTTTCACGCTCGATCTCGGCGATCTACCTCGTCACGCCAATAAAATCCTCCGTGACACTGGCTACAGTCACAAGAGACGTCTCAGTAAGGTAATGAGCACGACAACGCCGTCGAGATCAAGGACAAAGAGAAAACAAAACACTCACTGAAAACAGCAAAGAAGAAACGAAGAAATGTACACGATTCCTATATGTTGCCACTGACAACTGGTTCGGTGGAGACGACGCTACTTTTGTTTGTCCCCAGTGGGATCGTTGCTATGCGTATCGAAGGAACTGTGACGTCATCACTTAACAGCCCCATAGCGGCAAGGGCTGGATGAACAGCGGTACTGGCCGAGTATGAGTGACTGGAACGTGTTTCCCGTGTGCACCCAAGCCAAATAAAGAGATACATGACAGACACACCTGCATTGTGTTTTGTGATTGTTTTCTGGTACAGTTTTTTGTAGTAGTCCATATTGCTTTTTTCTCGCGCGGCCATTGACATTGTCGACTGGGCATCGGGCATTCTGGCTGTTCTGTTCCTACGGATTTTTCCCACGTCTTGATCGGAAACCTCGGCAAATTGCGCGGATCCTGCAGGTTGCTGAGCATTGCGCGCTTTGGTTGAGGCTCATCCGGCTCGTCCAAGATCTCCTTCGCGAGCGACTCCGCAATAAAAGTTTCAGTCTCTTCCTCAACTTTTCGGAGGAGCTCATCAGTTCGCATCGCCAATATCGTTCAACAAAAGGGGCTTCTTTTCTCCCAGTTCCAGATCAAATGTTGGAGCGCCATGATGACAGTTGTGGTTGAAAACAGTCGCTCTTCTGCTTTAGTTATTTTATTAGTAAGGGGTCGTCCACAATTATCGAACTTTTTTCACGAAACGAAATAATTTCGTTATGGGGTGGGAGGGGGTTGACCAATTTCGTTTCAGAAAAGTTCGATACATGTACATGGCCATAGGAGCAGTGACACACTTGCGACTTTTGTTGTATATGCATGTACATGTATATGTCAACAATTTTTACGTTCTGAGGGGGAGGGAGGGAGGGGTTGGGTCTAAACTAAAATAATTCGTTTGGTGAAAAAAGTTCGATATTAACGGACGGCCCCTAACCAGGGAGTAGTAAAATACAGTATTTTACTACTCCCTGTTAGTAATAGGCACTTCAGTCACGTGACAGGACCTGTCAAAATTTGCTGAGGTGAGAGTGCGAACTTGCGTGGCACCAGTCAAGTGCATGCGCTAAACTGTACAGGTACGCGCTATGCTTCGTTGTACGGGCTGATACTGTAAATATACAAAATATCGGCGCTGCAAAATTTCGGCACTTCACGATTTTTGACATTTCGGCGGCGATTTATTTTCGGCGTGGGGTAGAGGGCACGGTATACATGTAGTGCGACAGATGCTGTGAAAATTTTCATCGGCGTTTTAATTTAGGCGTTTTGGGTCGGTGCCGAATATAGCCGAAATTAAATAGCTGCCGAAAATTTGTATTTAGAAAAGCGATCCTGTCAGCTTTTCTATTATTGTGTTCACATGGCAAGAAAAACGACACCGCTATGCTACGTAAGTTTCTACGTAAGGT